GGGGAACATCAGATTGGACATATTTTCCTTCTCTGGTAACTTGTGAAACCCTGAAATTTTAGGTGCAAATATAATAACTACCACGTAATATAGTATGGTAATGAGCCAAAAATTATGATACCAAAATCACTGATACAGAAAAGAGATTTAGTTTTAGGTTCGGCAACAGCAGTTATTATGCTCATGTATTAACGGGATTCAGCCTAGTAATGTTTTTGAACAGTGTAACTATCATTTCACTTAATTAGAGGCCAGAAATTCCAAAGCTTCCTAACAGCTAAAGCTTATTGTTCTTGCTCCTGGTAAACCTTTCCAGACTTGCTACTTGTAAGACTACTTGAACACGAGAAGCTGAAACTTGAATACCGGAAAAAGGTAAAGAACAAACCTCATCAGCATTTGATCTCTTGGAATGCGCACATGATCAAATCTTAATACCCCATTATCCATAGTATTATATGCCCCGTTTCCAAATTTCAATCCAATGTCTCCAACAGTAACACCTGGAAGAGGTTTGTGGTCCTCCAAGCTTCGTAGTTGGACAATAAAACCTAAAATATGAATTAGTCAATAAATGTAAGTGCAACTTTCCTGAAAATTTAAAATGCACTACACCATCTTGTGACATGAGAATCATTGACTTACCATTAATCCCATAGTCTTTACCATTTGTTATAAGACGAGCGTACACAAGAGCATGGGTAGAGACTTTACCCAATCCACCAGGCCACCACTATTCCAAATTGTAAAAAGCCAGAGATCAGAGAAATTCACTAATTATTAATGAAATAAGCATATTGTAATAGGTCAGCAAATAATAAAGCTAATACAGCCATTTCAATCTTGGTGGTAGTAGCAAATTAAAAAAAAATTAAAAAATACAGCGATTTCAGAATAGCACATTGAACTGAAACAAGCAAAAGATGTTGTATAGGAGGTATATCTTGCATAAAAGAGTGTCATATACTTTGAGCATCACACTCCTCAAAATGTTAAAAATGGAGAGTTGTTTTGCAAAAACAAAACACGGAAAAGCAAGTAGTGGATAATTCTCACCTTGCTTGACGTCAATGTAGGACTATGAATGACAAATTCATCTGTTTGAGGATCAAATGTGGCAGTGGTCTCAAGGCCTTGCACATTGGACCCATGTCCAAGTTCAGTTTGAGCGTAGCACCCAATTATTTGCATCTTATAGGCCAACGGCAACCACTTTTTCTGCTGTTCATCTGTGCCCTGTCCTTTTATGGCCGGTATAAACATTCCCTAACAGAGAAAAATGGTGGCAGGTGAGCCACAATCCAAGGGCTTAAAGCAATTGAAAATAGAAAGGGGAAAAAATAAGAGCACCAACTTTAACATTAGTGTTTCTTTTCAAAATCGTCAAGCGCATTATGCATGTATATACTCAATATAAGCAGTAGCGTAGCAAGAATTTAACATAGGCAAAAGCAAAAGCCAAACAAGATGTTACCCAATGAAGATCGGTAAAGGCAGGCTCATCTACAAAATGCCTTAACTTAGCTGCTTCTTCTTCTGCAGAAACAAAAATTCAAGGTAATCAGCATGCACTTAATAAGACAGCTCTTCGTTGGCAGAAAACATTTTTTTTTTTTAAATTCTCTCCCAAATTAGGAGGATCTATAGTGTTTCCACACCTCCCCTCCAGCATGACTCGAACCCAGGATCTATCGGTTGTGGGTGGAGGTGCTTTTTGTCGTTGGCAGAAAACATATGATAAGGATTAGAAAGTAAAACAAAGTCATACCAGAAAGACGAAGTTCAATGATCCGTTTCCATGCATATGTCGCCTTTCTTAGCGTGTTCTTAAATAGTTCTTTCCTGGGAAGCATAGTTCTGCCTTCCTTGCTGAAGCCCTATATCCCACAATGACACTCAGTAAAGATTAAGGACATGCAAAATAGTAACAAGGCAGAAGCAAAAAACATAGTCAAACAAGACAATACCCTCCTTCAAAATCTCCCTCCCCAACCCCAAACAAATGACATGCGCCAAACAACATAATCTCCTCCTGTCAAAGTCAAGTCATTCAAAAATTATGCACTAAAAAGTTTTTGATCAATTTTCCAACCAAAACATTCACCGGCTGAATCACATGCACCAGTGGTACGTTAAAATGTATCAAAATGGAAATTTTAAACCAAATCGCATTTGAATGAGCATGAAAAGACAGTTGCTTTGGCTGGTAGAAAAAGGGAAAAAAAATTACTCCTAAAAAAAGTAGCTTTTCAGCATCACAATCCTAGTTTTCAAACACTAACAACAGAATGCATCAGACAGCATATCCGTTCACAAAAAACATGGTAGCATTTCTCACAAACGTTTTACTTACTAACTAAATCATCCTAAAGTTCAAATACATGTTAGCACTTAGCATTTATCCAAACACTAGACCCTACTCCATAGCATTTAACCAAACTAGTCCCTACAAAAAAATTCTAATGTACTTGCTCCATCGGTTTTACATTTTTTGTTTCCTCATAACTTCAGGCAATTCTAACGCCAAACAATGATTCATCCACACCGCTTCAATAAAATTTTAGCCTACTAAATAATGTTTGATCAAAGTTCAATACAGAAAGTGGTCAGTTTATATCAGTTAAATCAAACACATTACTGGCTTCGCAAAACCTATCAAAATCAAATCTTTCTCTCTTAAAACGCAGTGACTGAGCACAAAAAGGTTTTTTTCCCTCATCATTACCATATCCATTCACACATAAAAAAAACATCAAACACCCGAATAAACAAACAAAAAAGAAATACTGTAATCATCAGTTTATCTCAGTTAAATCAAAGACATTACTGGCTTGGTAAAAATTTACCTCACTGGTTGTTTACACCATGTAATTAGAAACATGACATGTGTTTGCACATTCACTTCTATCACTTAACCGTGGTTAATTAATGCATATTTTTACTTCATTAGACCACTTAACCATGATAAATTGAACTGGTTTGGTGTAAACACCCGATGCGGATAAGTATCTACCGGGACTGGCTTCCTAAACCTTATCAAAATCAAATCTTTTTCTCTTAAAACACAGTGAATGAGCACAAAAAGAATTTTCTCTCCAGCATCACCATCTTCATTCACCCAAAAAAAAAAAAAAATCAAACACCCATATAAACAACAAACAAATAAACAAAAAAGAAATACTGTAATCATCAGTTATAAAGAAACAAAAACCGTGATTCATATCCACCGACAGCCATATCCAAAAAGGTTATTCAACAAAAAGGGGTCAAACAAAAATTAAAAATTTAGAAGAAAATAAAAAGGAAAAGGGAATTACAGGATCATTAGCAACAAGCTTGGAGATACGATCTGATAATTCAAAATTATGGCGAGAACCAGCCCAAACAATCTTCATCTCATTCACATCAAACTCAGCTTTTTTCCTCTCATCAGCCAAGTAATCAACACCCTCCATCTTTTCCTCTCAGATCAAAACCCAAAAATTATTGCACAGAATGAAAAAAAATCCAATCTTTGGTTGTTTTAGCAAATACCCCAATTCGATTATTGTAAAAAACGAGGAGAAAAAAAAAAGAAGGATAAGGATTGAACACGTTTGAGCTTTCCAAGAAACGATTTGTGTGTGCGCTATTTATAGCAGTAGTAGTTGTAGGAGGCACTCTTACATAATCATATTTTGACTGTACTTTTGTTTACAGTATATATATATATATGCCTTTTTCATATTTTTGAAAAAAAGGTTCGTCAGCTTTGATTTATTCCAGAAAAAAAAAAGGTTTGATTTGTTTGACGACCGTAAATAATAGAGTATTCAATATGTTTTATTAATACTAGTTTAACGTTTATAATTCAAAAAATTTAATATTTACAATAGTGGTTAAGTATTAAAAAATCTTTTTGTGGAGCATTTTAAGTGGAAAAAATATTATTCTCGTATTTATTTAATCTTTGTTGAAATAAAATATGTGTCCCAAAAAAAAAAAATTATCAAATATAATTTTAATTTCTAAATTATTCTTTTTTTAATTTCTAAATTATTCTTTTTTTTTAATTTCGCTTCAAATATTTCTTTTCAAACTTAAATATATTGTCCAAATGTGAGAAAAAATGGTTTACTTGTTTTTTAAATCAATTCTCCTGATTTTTTATTTTTTATTTTTTATTCTATAAAATCTTTAAAGAGGTTTATACTTTAGAAAACAATTAGATGTGCTGCATATTCATTGTTCTGTTACTTATTTTTTGAAAAGAATATAATTCATTGATGGGCATGTTATATTAGAGATTATTAATTTGTTTCTCTTTTGGTTACGAATTAATTGATTTGTTTCCTTTCAATACAAGACAAAGGATAACATTAATCCTAATCAGCATATAACTGAAATAGAATGTTTATTATAGTTTACCCGAGATTACTAACATACTACATTAGATAGAGAGATTGGAAGAACAAATAATTGATCAATTTTAATAATTAGGTAGTTACATATTTAAGTGTCCTTAGCCAATTAACAAAATTTTAAAGTTGGTTGACCATTATTCATAGACCCAGTGGTCCGTAGATCAAAATTTAAATTGTATTGTCATGATTTAACTATTTAAGGTTCGTATCGTTATTTTCGCTTAACTAGGCCTCCTTATTCTCTCATACGTGTGGCAAAATGATAAAAAGAAAACAGTTAATCACTCATATTATCCACTAAAAAATAGGTTGGATAACGAATTATTTAAAAACAAGTCAAATATGAATAAGAATCATATTATCTATTTAGAAAACGGATAACCAATGGATAACTAATGGATTTAACTTTTATATTATTATTTTTTTAGTAATTAAAGAATTTTAATTATCAATTGTAATATGTACAGCATGCAAAAATGAAATCTCAGCATGATTTGGACATGAAGCCCCAAATCTGCGTACAGCATCATAACCTATCAGCTAGAGGGAACAAGCTAACAGATTATACTATTGATAGAAATTAAGACATGCTAACTTCCCCTGCAACCGTGCTATTTTAACTCCTCTATAGTGAATCTCCTGAATCACTTGTCTTACTGGCATATCCACAGGTCTAGATCTCTGTTGAAACAACCTCAAATTCCTTTCATTCCAAACACAATAAAGGGAGGTTGCTAGAGTCATTCTGAATAGTATCATACCAGTAGACTTCCCTTGCATATGCCTAGCAGCCCATGTAATCTCATCTTGCCACAATGTCGGCATCTTCGTGACTCCTTGCCATTTCAATAATTTAAACCAGACATTTGCACAATACTGGCATTGAAAAAAGAGATGATCAATGGACTCATTTGCTGCATTACACAGAGGGCAACTCAAATCATCAATGTGGCACCATTGTGCAAATCTAGTCTTGGTAAGTAACCTCTTGTGGATGGCTAGATACAAAATAAAATTCCACCTGGGAGGACTATGATTGTTCCATATGAATCTACCATTCAACTCTTGGGTAATCTCTTCTGAGTTTGCAGTAAATCTCCTTAACGGATAGCGTAGTTAACTGATGCACATCTTCTTCTTGATAGCCTGCTTCTGCAAAGGTCTCTTTAGCTTTTATGATCTTCCTTATCACCCACGAGGCCTGGTTTACTTGCACATCCCATATCCTCATTCCCTTGATGTAGTAACATGAACCCATTACACCCATAACGTGTCCTTCTTTTTGTACAAATTCCATAAAAGCTTGCCAATGGCAACTTTATTCCACGTTTGTACATCTAGAAGACCAAGTCCACCTGCAGTTTTGGGATTGCACAATCTTTCCCAAGCAATCAAAGCTTTCCTTGATATCTCAGCGCCCCCAGTTCACAAGAATCTCCTACACAATGATTTTATCAGTTGCACCACCTTTTTGGTAGTATGAACACTTGGGACCAGAAAATTTGGACAAAGAATAGGACGTATTTTATCAGTTGTAGTCTTTCAGCATAAGACAGAAATCTAGCAGTCCAAGAAGTAATTATGTGCAGTATCTTATCCAATAGAGGCTTATATTGAATCACAACAGTCCTTTTTGTACTCAGAGGGATTCCAATGTATCTAAAAGGTAGTTCTCCCTTTGCGAAGCCCAAGGTATATAGGATAGTACTTTGATCTTGAGTGCTCACCCCTCCAAAATAAATGGAGCTCTTGTCAATATTGCAATTAAACCTGAAGCATGGGAGAAAACTTGAAAGCAACCATATATCATTTGGACAGACATAGGGCCACCTCTACGAAAGAGTAGAAGATCATCAGCAAACCCTAGATGAGTGATGTTCAGCTTTGCACACTTAGGGTGAAAATTGAAATTTGGCTGCCTCTTCAAGGTGTTCAATTGTCTATTCAAATATTCTATAGCTAGGAGAAATAGGAAAGGGGAGAGGGGGTCCCTTTGTCTCAACCCTTTCCTTGCCTGGAAAGGTGTGGTCGGTACACCATTGATGATGATTGAATAAGACATTGTGCTAATACGGACCAGTAACCATTGTACAAACACCTCAGGGAAATTCAGGCATTTAAGATGTAAGGACCCGTAAAAATTTTAACCAAAAACTCGGGTTTTCGTAGTGCCAAGTTAGATTCTTGCGTTATTATAGTAGAAATTCTTCGCGGCTCGCAAGCTCGCCGCGGTTCAGACTTTTTGGATTGAACAGTACCCTACGGACTAAGAGAAAAATATTTCGCAGAAGAACGCATTTCTGTGGCCCATTATGCGGCCGCATAATCACTCTGCGGACTGCATAATGGCCGCAGAGTTAAGCAGTAAGTTTGGCCAATTTGAGGTCAGTTTTACGGTCGATTATGCGACTGTATAATCGATATGCGGACCGCATATCAGTCGCATAATCCATCTTAGGTTTCTGCGGCGGGAGTTCTACGGTACATTATGCGACCGCAGAACAAGTATGCGGACCGCATACTGGTCGCATACCTGAACCGAAAGTTTAGGCCCCTGAGGGCCATTTCTGCGGTCACTTTACGGACCGAATAACCATTATGCAGTCGCATATGTGACCGCAGACCTGTGTCGGGATACCATTTTTCTTAATTTAAAACCTGACCCCCATTCCGTTAAAATACCCCTTAGGTCTATTTTGAGCTCATTTTCTGATACTTCTAGAGTGAGAGAGAGAGGGTTCAAGAAGGAGGGCCTAATTTTCATCAATTAATTTTCAACCATCACTCAAAGCTTGGAAATACTCAAGTAGAGCACCCAATTTCTTCATTCAAAAAGGTAAGATTTCATCACCCCAGCTCTTAATTTCAAACATAGCTATAATGGGATACTAGGGTAATACTTCATGGGTATGAGAGTGATTCTTCTTGCATGCATGTGATAAAGAGTGTGGGAAAAATAAAAAGTGAACTAGAACTATGAACATTTTCCTAATTTTGGGTTCAATTTATATATTGCAAAAATAGATTGAGTTTGCTAAGGGTTCCGGATAATTATACAGTCTAAAGAAGCACAATTGAGATATTTATGGCTAACTCTCTTCTTCTTAGAATCGAACTCCTGGTGTCTGAATAATTGGTATAAGTTCCAACTTGATTATATTAGAATTGTTGCCTTAGTGTGTTTGATTGAAAGATTCATGTTCCCTCATTATTTTAGATGGTTACCATGTCATCATGATATTTGAGAACGTAATTATGATTTTCCAAGCTCCTTCCCTTATATGTGAAATGCCTTATGTGATGGTACTTATCGATATGAATGATGATGTTATTTGAACAAATAAAAAGGGAAAAACTTGAATTGTAAAATATGCCCAAGTTCCAAGAACTACTTAATAAATGAGGTTGTTTGTGCCATGTAATGAAGATGGGAAAGAAATGTGAATTGAGTGGACAGTTAAAAGAGGTTATGTCTCAAGTGAGATGGCTTAGCCGATCGGGCCGAGATCGGACGCCATGCTCTACACATGGTGGCATTTGTATTCGAATTATTGAATTACATTGTGGATATGGATATGTCTCACTTAAGATGGCTTAGCCAGTCGGGCCGAGACCGGACTCCGTGTAAAAATACGGTGGCATTGTGAGTTATGGCTTGGCACTAAAGATTATTAATCTAAAAAGATGGAAAGATTGAATTGGAAACTATGTGATTCTTACTTGGTATTTTCTTTGTATTTCTATGAAGTACTTATTGATTATTCAGACTGCCTTCTCTTTGTTTCACTGTTCATTCTACTAAGATTAGTGTTTGTCTTACATACTAGTACTATTCGACTGTACTAACGTCCTTTTTGTCGGGGGCGCTACACCTTTGAATGGATGTAGGTGGTTCCATCGCAGATAGTGCCGATCGCAGATAGTGGTGCTCTCTTTCTCTCCTCACGGTAGTTTTGGTGAGCCCCATTTCTCCCAGGGGTCATGTAGTCCTTCTTTTGTATAAGTTTTCACATTTTGAGGTATAGACGGGGCCTTGTTGCCGGCATTGTCATGTTGCTCTTTTGTATCCTAAGAGGCTCCGTAAACATTTTTGTGGGTTATGTATGGATGTTGGGGCGGTCGTTGGATCGAGTTGTATTTTGGAAACTTAACTATGGCATAATGCATATAATGAAAAATGAACTAGCAACGTTTATATATTTATATAACTGATCTCTCCCCTATTTTACAAATGGTGACGCATTCCCTTTTTGGATCATGAATGAGTCGGGTAG